ACCAACTCTCGAGTGTTTTTTTGTTTTTCTTTTTGTTTTTGTTTTTTTCTCTTTTTTCGATTAATGGCCTTTAGTCGGCTCTCCTTGGTCTCTCTTCCTACGAAGTTTCCTGTGTTATGTGCTTCCTGCTCAATTTCCACCTTGTGCACGACACTTGCCTTTTTTGCTAGCCAGTTAGTTCCCGCACCTTTACTTCGCCTGGACCCATTTTCTTTCTCTTTGGGCAATTGAGGACCTCTTGTCTTGGTCAGGTTAGATACATTTTTGTTTGTTTGTTTATTTATTTATTTATTTTGGTTTTTCGAGACGGTTTCTCTGAGTAGCCTTGGCTGTCCTCAACTAGCTCTGTAAACCAGGCTGGCCTCGAACTCAGGGATCCGCCTGCCTCTACCTCACGAGTGCTGGGATTAAAGGCGAGCGACACCACCACCCAACCCCCCCTTTTTTTTTTTTGTTACTGTAGACAATTGACCTTAGGGCATCTGTCCCGGTACTCCATTCTAAAAGTAAGGTGACAAAATTTGAACAGCCCTCGTAAATACGAGGCCTAAAACAAGTTTAGATAATCTCAAGGTGTCATTTGAATACTAAGCGTCACAATCTTTTTGGACAAAATGTAGTGCGATCAGATTCATCCCTTAGTAAAAAGATTAAGGAAATGTGGTGTGTGTGTGTGTGTGTGTGTGTGTGTGTGTGTGTGTGTGTGTGTGTTTTTATTTGTTAAACAATCCCAAGAGGGAGAATAAAGTGAAGGCATAATGATGGTCTCCAGGGAGTAAAAGAAATCCTGTATTATTTAGTCATACTATGTTTCCAAAATTTAAAGAGCACTTTTAAAAAGAATAATAGAGGGATGGAGTGATGGCTGATGGCTGAATGGTTAGGAGTCCTGGCTGCCCTTGCAGAAGACCTGGGTTCATTCCCAGCACATGTATGGAGGCCAAGGCCACCTGTAACTTCAGTTTGAGGTGAGCCAAGCCCTCTTCTGGTTTCATGCATGTCTGAGGTGTACATGCCATATGCATAAAGTAAAATAAAAGAACTGCAGTGTGAGCATGCATTATGTAAGATCTTTTAATCTGGCTTTTATATAATTCTCAAAATAGCTCCATTAAGTGGTTATAATAATAGGGCTCACAGACTTAGTAGTCAACTCCAGTGTCATGTAATCTTTATGTCGTAAGTCGTAAGAAGTCTTGACCGAGATCTGCCTATGTGTAATACAATTCCTGTTTTTTAATACAAACAAATGGACAGCAACTACTTCCCTACTCTGGTATAATTACATGCTTATTACTTGCCAATCCCTTCCTCAGAATCTCCTTCACCAAATTAAGTAACCCAAATTCTTGTCTGTTTTGTCAATGCTAATTCCACAGTCTTCTAGTTGTTTTGTTTGTTACTACTTTCTCCTCATGAGGACTAACTTCAGAAAACCCATATCTATGAGGAAATGTGGACCCACACTTAGTAATGGCCATCTATCTCTATGGTTCCTGAATGTTGAACCAAATATTGTCTGAATGACAGTTAACATTTCTTTTAAATCTGGTAGATCTGAAAAGGAGCGAAAGAACTATGCAGGATGATTAGATTGAAAGGCTTGGACATGACACCATACTACAAAATGTCTATAGTTGTAGCTACTTGGGAGCCTCAGGTGAGAGATCACATGAGCCAGGAGTTTGGGACCAAACTGGGTAAGACAGAGTCATTCAGTTTCTGCTTCTCCTGCTCTCCAAGGCTGGTAAAGCAGGAAGTCATAAATAAATTCATAAATAGAATTGTGACTGAAGAAAAATATTGATAGTAGAGATTATTCATTTATCACATACTTTGACCTTTATCTTGTAAGGATTTAATGATACTATCATTCTTTTCTCCCTCAAATCCTAGACAAGAGTTTCTCTGTGTAGCCCTGGCTGTGCTGGAACTCACTCTGTAGATCAGGCTGGCCTCTAACTCAAAGATCCTGCACCTCCCTCCCAAGTGCTGGGATTAAAGGTATGTGCCACCATCACCTGGCTGTTGTCACTTTACCCCAGTTATTCAGATGACTTTTAGTGGCATATTATCATTCAACGAACATCAGAGTAATTTCAAAGTAGAAAAAGGTTGCCTTTATCACTCTTGTTTTCTTACAAGTTTTTCACCTACTTTTCATGAACCACACCTTGTCCTTTTTTCCCATGTCAATATGTATTCTACCTGCTCATTCTACCCTTTAATAAAATGTTCTTAACATAGCCTACTTTGTTCTTATGCACTCCATGATCTCATTAGAGGAAATGATCTATTATCTAATTAAAGTAATCCATAATTGGATATGAGTAAATTCTGTGCTTTACCCTTTAAGCAACTACATAGGAAAAGACAAACATAGTGACTTGATAAACGAGTGAGAGAATATTGTCATTAACCTATTTCTACTAGGTTGTCGTCCAAGTGTAGAAAATCAACAACAGTAGCTTGCAAACAACTCATTTCTAGATTGTTTTGACTTAGCTCTTATTTAAGTAAATTTTCCTCATAGTCTTCTTAGTGTTTGACCCACACACACCCAGAGAGTCTCCATTAGCCCAGAGTGGCCCAGAATTCAAAATCTTCCTGCCTTAGTCTCCCAAATGCTAAGATTACAGGTGTGTGCCACCATTCCTGGCTTGTTTAACACTTTTTTAAAAAATTTATTTATTATGTATATAACATTCTGCTTCCATGTATATCTGCACACCAGAAGAGGGCACCAGATCTTATAACAGATGGTTGTGAGCCACCATGTGGTTGCTGGGAATTGAACTCAGGGCCTCTGGAAGAGCAGTTGGTGCTCTTAACCTCTGAGCCATCTCTCCAGCCCTTGTTTAACACTTTTAATAATGGTCTTTGGGTATGTTTTGTAGACCAAGTAAACAAATGATTTTGAAAGCTCTAGTTGGATCAATGATAAATATTATACATGATAAATGTTGATTGACTACAGTAAAAAAGCCTCACTGGATATTTATTTTAACAAAAATTTTTAGATTTGTTTATTTGATGTATATGAGTAAATATTCATAGATGTGCATGTCTTCTTGTGTGCCACGTGCATTCCTGGTACCCTCAGAGGTCCAAAGAAAGCATCGTATCCTCTGGAATTGGAGTTACTCTGTTTGTGAGCCGGGTGCAGTAACCAAAGCCAGTCCTCTGCAAAAGCAACAAATCAAGTTCTCTTAACCTCCGAGCCACTTCTGTGGCCCCAAATGAATACACACATTTTTGAGGCTTTCCTAACTTTTATTTAATAGTCCCACTAATATTTCTTTATTGTTTTTCTGATTACATAAGTGATCAATAAATATCTATGCGATTAAGAAATTTGGAAATTTAGTGTCATCATCCCCTACCTCAGGTACATTGAGTTGGATCTTGTTGGATTAATGAAAAATGATCAGAACTGCATTGTTGTCCGTAATAGTCCTTTTAACTATAAAATGTACTCATTAACTAACTTCTCTATTTGTTTTTTGGGTTTTGTTTTTGTTTTTGTTTTTTGTTTTTTTCGAGGCAGGGATTCTCTATATTGTTTTGGAGTCTGTCCTGGAACTCACTCTGTAGACTAGGCTGGCCTCAAACTCACAGATATCCACCTGCCTCTGCCTCCTGAGTACTAGGCTAGGCTTAAAGGCATGCGCCACCAATGCCCAGCTCAAAAATACCTTTAAAATTGAGTTATTCTTACAAAACACAAACAAAAAAGGGTAAGATTAGGAAACCTGCAAAAGCCTACACCTGCCAGTCAGCATGTATTTGGGTTCCTGTAAATAGATGTCTACTAGAGAAACAGAAATACTAGACACAGCTTATGTTTACCTAGAGTTTTGTAGATTTGGTTTTAGATGTCTTGAGAGGAGAGAGCAAGGGGATATATTGAGTTTTTAAGCTTCCTTTAAAAACTGTTGAGCCAGGTGGTGGTGCATGCTTTTAATCCTAGCACTCAAGAAGCAGAGGCAGGCGATCTCTGTGACTTTGAGGCCAGCCTGGTCTACAGAGTGAGTTCCAAGACAGCCAAGGAAGAAACCCTGCCCCCCCAAAAAACAAACTGTTGAAATGTTAGTTATATTTGTCTCATAGCAACAGTTCTTGTATAAAATCTAACACAGGTTTTGTCCCTCTTCACAGTTTTGCAGCCCATCATGGCAGTCAAGTGGACTGGTGGACATTCTTCTTCTATCCTCTGCCTGAATGCAAGTAAAGACGGGCTTGTGGCTTCAGGAGCAGAGGGTGGAGATCTTGTGGCTTGGGGTGAAGATGGGACTCTATTAGGACGCATGCAGTTGGAAGGAGCTGATGATGTTACCAGCATCTTGTTTTCTCCCTCCTGCCCCACCAAGCTATATGCCTCCCATGGAGAAACCATCAGTGTACTAGATATCAGGTCTCTTAAAGAGTCCGTGGACCGTTTTCATGTGAATGATGAAGAAATCAATTGTCTTTCACTAAATGAAACTGAAAGTCTGCTGGCTTCTGCTGATGACTCTGGGGCAATCAAAATCCTGGACTTGGAAAAGAAGAAAGTTACCAGATCCCTGAAGAGACATTCTAACATTTGCTCCTCCGTAGCTTTTCGACCTCAGAGGCCTCAGAGCCTGGTGTCATGTGGCCTGGATATGCAGGTGATGTTTTTGCAAAGAACCCTTGGGTAATTTCTGAGCAGGATTTGCTAACAAAATCCCTAGCTGTCCTGGAACTAGCTCTTGTAGACCAGGCTGGTCTGGAACTCACAGAGAATCCATCTGTCTCTGCCTCCTGAGTGCTGGGATTAAAGGGTTTAAGTGTATGTGTTGTGGGGGGTTAGAAGGTCTCTTCTCACTTTAACTGGAAATGTGAGTTGCTGGAAATGTGTGAGTGAACAGAAGCAGAGCACTGTGTGCAGTACTTTGGAAGCGGCATCACAAATTAGCCCTAGTTCAGAGGAGACCACTACAAAAGAGATGGGGTATGAAGCACACTGTATGGGGAAAGCTGGTGGGGTTTAAATGCTTTGTTCTCACAGGTGCAGATCTTGAATTACTATGAGAGTTTTTAGATAGCTTGAACTTTCCCATAGCAACTGTCCTTCCTGCAAAAGAAAAATCACATCACTAGGGTTGAGTGCTGAGGACTTTAAGTGCTTTGCACATAATTGTCTTCATTCTATTCATGCCCTCCTAATTATTGTTCCTTTTAAAAATAATTTCATCTTATGTGTATGGATGTTTTGCCTGTGTGTATGTTTGTGCACTGCTTATGTGCCTGGTGTCTGTGCAGGCCAGAACCGGGCACTGGATCCTCATGTGGAATGGCAATCCGGAGTCAGGTGCAGATATAAAGGTAGTTTATTTAGGAAAATGCTACTCACTGAGGTCAGCCTCGCCAGTCAGGTGCCAAACCTTCCTCACTGTCACCCTGACCACGCCCAAGCATTACTTGTAACCAGCCCCAAGTGGGCGGGCTTAGGGTATCCCCTACAGGATACTGTGGAGCTACGGTTAGAGACAGTTGTGAGATACCACATGGATGCTGAGATTTAAACCAACGTCCTCTTGAGGAACAGTTTGCTTGACTGCTAAGTCAATAACAAAAAATCAATATTGCCAGGCAGTAGTGGCACACACCTTTAAGCCCAGCACTCTCGGGAGGCAGAGGCAGACAGGTCTCTGAGTTCGAGGCCCGCCTGGTCTATAGAGCAAGTTCCAGTACAGCCGAGACTACACAGAGAAATCCTGTCTCAAAAAAAATGAAAAAGGAGAAAAAATCAGTATCATCCATAAGGTTGGAGGGCATAGTAGTGGAATCAGCAGGTGTCCAATGTGCGGGGACCCTCCCCAGATAATTCTCCCTGGAAATGTTTGTAGTGCCTCTGTTCTATTCAGAATCATTCAATGCAGAATTATTGTCGGTGTTTTTGTTTTTCAAGATAGGGTTTCTCTCTGTAGCCACTTGCCTCTGCCTCCAAGCACTGGGATTAAAGGTGTGTGTTACCACCAGGATACTTCTGTATTTATAGGACACAGTTTTCCCTACAGCCCACAACTAGGTCTTGGCCAAACCCTTCTGAAATCTGCATTCTCTACCCTCAGGTTGGCTCTTCCTCTGATTTTCAAGAAGCATCTGTGTAGCCAAGTGGCTGTTGTTTATAAATAATCAGATATAGTGTGTTTTGACTAGTCTTTCTTTCATCCTTTGGCTATACCAGTTTTCATCACTGGCGCATTAGTCATTAGGGGTTGTATTCTTAGTTTTGTTTTTTGAGACAAGGTCTCACTGGATAGCATTGGCTGGTCTGAAATTGGCTATGTAGACTAACCTGACCTTGAACTCATAGAAACCCACCTGCCTCCTGCCTCCTGCCTCCTGCCTCCTGCCTCCTGCCTTCTGCCTCCTGCCTTCTGCCTTCTGCCTCCTGAGTTAAAGGGATGTGCCACCATGCTGGCTGGCTTGTTTATTTTTGTTTTTCTTTCATTTTTTTAAATCTGGGGAATGATGCTGGGAGTTATATCCAGGGATTTGCAGGTGGCAAATAAGCCACTGAGCTATATCCTTAGCCCAACAACTGTACTTTCATGGAGTCTTTTGTGTAGAAGCTTTTAGGATCTGGCTTTGTAAATCCTACCTCCACCTCTGCATTCTAGTTTTAGTCTAGTGTCAAGTAGCATTACCTGGCATGTTGTATTTAGAATGTTATAGGAACTGTGTCATATTTTATTGGAAGCTCAGTAAGCACTGTAGTTGAGCAACATGCCTAGAACACTGTGTGACTGTGTAACTTCACCTTGTTTAAAGGTGATGCTGTGGAGTCTTCAAAAAGCCCGACCCGTCTGGATTACGAATTTACAGGAGGATGAAACAGAAGAAATGGAAGGCCCCCAGTCCCCTGGTCAGCTCCTAAACCCCGCACTAGCCCACTCTGTCTCAGTGGCATCTTGCGGCAATATTTTCAGCTGTGGCGCAGAAGATGGTAAGGTGCGCATCTTCAGGGTGATGGGAGTCAAATGTGAGCGAGAATTGGGATTTAAGGGTCACGCTTTGGGGGTATCCCAGGTCTGCTTTCTGACGGAGTCCCATCTGCTGCTTACTGGAGGGAATGATGGGAAGATAAGGTTGTGGAACGTGAGCAGTGAAATGGAGAAGAAACAGAAGAGTCCTGCAAAACACACCCACAGGAAGAAAGCAAAAAGAGCAGCTTGCCCCAAGCAGGGTAGGGACTCTAGTACCACAGGAGCAGACGAGGAGGAGCATGCAAAGGTTTTGCCAAAGCTCGATATTGAACACGGAGAAAAAGTGAACTGGCTCTTGAGTTCAAAAATAAAAGGGCACCAAAGTATATTAGTGGCCGATCAGACGAGTTGTGTATCTGTGTATCCCTTAAATGAACTTTAGTACCAATAAAAAGCTCTATAAGAACTCTGATAAAGTCTTTTTGGATTTTTGTTTGTTTCCTCCTTGCTTACTAAGACAGCCTCACATTTGTACCCCAGGCTAGTCTGGAACTCACCACATAGCACAGGCTGGCCTCAAACTTGTAGCAATCCTCTTGCCTCAGCCACTGAATTCTGAGATTACAAGCATGAGCCATCTCTCTGCTCTGCTGACAGAACTTTATTTTACTTTTAGGTTAAAAAAAAAACTCTTGCTTTTGGCCGGGCGTTGGTGGCACACGCCTTTAATCCCAGCACTCGGGAGGCAGAGGCAGGTGGATCTCTGAGTTCGAGGCCAGCCTGGTCTCCAGAGAGAGTGCCAGGATAGGCTCCAAAGCTACACAGAGAAACCCTGTCTTGAAAAACAAAACAGACAAACAAACAAAAAAAACTTGCTTTTAAGAGTAAGACTTTTTTAAGTGTGTAAGATCATGTCAGTTTGAACAAAAAATCATTGGATAATATTTCATGTAGTAAGTGACAGAGTTTGGGTAAAGAGATTGACTGAGTATTAACTGTCTACCAACTATTCACTGACTATTAATTGTGTGTCAGATAGTTGACACAATATTTCATTTTTTCCCCATACAAAGTAAGTTCGGGGCTTTCTCTTACTCTGACTTCTTGTCATTTTCCAATGAAAATCATTTTTGTTGGGTTTTAAACTTAATACTTTAAAATGGGGCTGGAGCGATGGCTCAGAGGTTAAGAGCAATGACTGCTCTTCTAGAGGTCCTGAGTTCAATTCCCAGCAACCACATGGTGGCTCACAACCATCCGTTATGAGATCTGGTGCCCTCTTCTGGTGTGTAGATATACATGGAAGCAGAATGTTGTGTACATAATAAATAAAATCTTTAAAAAAATACTTTAAAATGTTTTTCTTGTTTAAGATTATGATCTTAGCTGGGTGGTGGTGGCACACACCTTTAGTCCCAGCACTTCAGAGGTAGAGGCAGGCGGATCTCTGTGAGTTCAAGACCAGCCTGGTCTACAAGAGCTAGTTCCAGAACAGTCTCCAAAGCCACAGAGAAACCCTGTCTCGGGGGGAAAAAAAATAGGGGGCTGGAGAGATGGCTTAGAGGTTAAGAGCACTGGCTCTTTTTCCAGAGGACATGAGTTCTCAGTAACCACATGGTGGCTTATAATCATCTATAATGACATTTGATGCTCCCTTTGGTATGCAGACATGTGCAGACAGAACACTGTATATGTAACAAATAAATAAATCTTTAAAAAATTGTCATCTTAGAAATAATATATCCAGGTAGATAGTGCATGCTTGTAATCCCAGCATTCAAGAACTTGAGCTGATGACTTTGGTTTAGAGCTACTTAGTGAGACCCTGCCCCAGAAAGACAAAGGTAGAAGAAGGAAGGGAGGAGGGAAAGGAAGAGATGGGAACAGAAGGGTAGGAGAGGGAAAGAAAGGATTGGGTTTGTTTGTTTGGTTGGTTGGTTGGTTGGTTGATTGGTTGGTTTTGAGGCAGGGTCTTCCTGGGTGTCCTTTTGCTCACTGTGTAGACCAGGTTGGTCTTGAGCTCACAAAGATCCTCCTGCCTCTGCCCCTCCCCATCCCTAGTGTTGGGATTAAAGGGGTGCTCTACCACACCCAGCCAGAGATATTTTTCTTTTTTCTTTTTTTTTTTTTCCCCCCGAGACAGGGTTTCCCTGTGTAGCTTTGGAGCCTATCCTGGCACTCGCTCTGGAATACCAGGCTGGCCTGGACCTCACAGAGATCTGCCTGCCTCTGCCTCCCAAGTGCTGGGACTAAAGGTGTGCACCACCAACGCCCAGCATGCCAGAGATATTTTTCTAACGTTTAATAAAATATAGACTATTAGTGAATATTCAGTTATTGACTAGCTGATTGACTGAATGAGACAAGCCTAGGATTTTTTTTTTTTTTTTAACAATCATACATTCAAAAAATACTTTGGTTGTTTGGTAGACATACAGCACAGACCCCAGAATTAACCATCACTCTACATAAGAGTAAGTATGCTCCCTCTTTGCTAATCCATCATCTAGTCTCCATTCAAGAGTAGCAGTAGTAAGAAATAATGAGAAAACTTTTATCTTCCATGCCAAGGTATCTTTCATTTGAAAATTAGTCTTAAAATGTTTGTTTTGTTTTCTTTATTTTTAATAGCAGATAGCGGCTGGGTGGTAGTGATACATGCTTTGGGGGACAGTTTGAGGCCACCGTGGACTACAGAGCAAGTTCCAGGACATTCAGGGCTACCCAGAGAAACCCTATCTTGAAAAAACAAACAAACAAACAAAAAGTATTCAAGGCTTTTTAAAAAATCTAAATAAAACTGAAAATGCATTTAAAAACTGATATATGAATTCAGAAAGAAAATATAGTTTTAAATTTTACTTTATGAGTGTCTTCCTGGATGTATGTCTGTGCATTTTGTTGGTACAATACCTGTTGGAACCAGGGGAAGTTGGAACCTGGGGCTGGAGTTTTAGAAGGATGGTTGTGAGCCACCATGTGGGCTGGTGCTTGACCACTAGGTCCTCTGGAACAGCAGCACTGCTCTTAACTCCTGGAGTCATCTCCGCAGGCCTAAAAAGAGATTATTGTTGTGTGTAGCCAAGGCTGTTTTTGAACTTGGAATCCTCATACCCCAGTCTTCTGAATGCTGGTGTTATGGGCATGTACCACAATGACATTGAGGAGTTGGTTCTTTTTTGAAACAGGGTCTCACACAGTGCAGCAGATCTTAAAGTCTGTTTCATGAGTTCTAATTTGTCTTAATAATAAAAATCGGGAGCCAGATATTGAGGTAAATGCTGCAAGATCAGAGAGACAAAGGAGCAAGCCACAGCCAATTCTTAGCTCGACAACACCTCAGCTGAAAAAGGCAAACTCTGTCTCCTCTGGCCTTAAACTCTCACCACTATATCACTTCCTATCTGTCTGTATCTTCAGATCTTCAGGCAACCTTTATTTGTTAGGGCACAGACAAAATATCACAGAAGTCACTGTGTGAAGGAGGATAACCCTGAACTCCCAATTTTCCTGCCCCCACTTCCTAAGTGCCGAGTTACAAGCATGTATACACATGTGCCTAGCTCTAGAGAAAGTTTATGACTTAGTCATTTCTCTGCCTGTGATATCTTGTCCAATGCAAAAGAACCTGCTCTAAAGCAGCCAGCTCCAGACACATGATTCAGCAGGTGAAGCAACCTTTCAGCTCATAGTAAATTAATGCTTCCATTTAAATAGCTGTCATTTGGCTTGCATTTAATAATTTAGAATTGAATTCATAGTTGCTAAAGAACTGTATGCATAAGACAATTATACTTCATGTTGGGTTTGAACATACTTAAGCAGCTTTATACACAATTTTAATATAGGACTTAGTGATAAACCCTAAACATCTAATAAATTTTTTCTTTTATAAAGAATGCAGTTGTTAACCGGGCAGTGGTGGTGCATGCCTTTGGTCCCAGCATTCTGGAGGCAGAGGCAGGTGGATCTCTGTGAAATCTACAAAAGCTAGTTCCAGGACAGCCTCCAAAGCTACAGAGAAACCCTGTCTTGAAAAACCAAAGAAAAAATAAAAAGAAAAGAAAAATAAGAATGCAGTTGTTGGTCCAGATGTGATAGAGCACACCTTTAACCCCAGAACTCTGAAAGCAGAGACAGGTGGGCTCTCTGTGGGTTCTATGCTACCCTGGTCTACACATTGAGTTCCAGGCCAGCTAAGACTACATAGTGAGTGAGACCCTGTCTCAAAGTAATAACCATGCAGTCCTCAGGCCCTCAAGGTAGCTAGCTCATAAGGTTAACTGCTGGCTGTGCAAGCCTGCCAACCTGAATTCAACCCCCACAAGTGACTTTCACATGTGCTTCTCTCTTTCTCTCTCTCTCTCTCTCTCTCTCTCTCTCTCTCTCTCTCTCTCTCTCTCTCTCACTACCACCATCATTCATACCATTCATACACACACACACCATCACCATCATTTATTCCATTCATACACACACACACACACACACACACACACACACACACACACTAATAAATGAAATTTAAAAAGAATGTAGCCTCAGTGACTGGGTGCTCCCCAATGCCATGACTACAGGTAGGGGAACACATAAGCAGTTATGATTAAGCCCTACCTAATTGCCCTGACTGGTCCTGAGCAGTGTCATTGCCAGTTCTTAGCAGCATGTAGTTTCTGATACTAGTCACTAGTCACTAGTCTTGCCTCCATGAGACAGAAGCCACCAGGCAGCAAGGATGGTTTGTAATGTGTCACCAAGGGGCTGAGTAGACATTTTTTTCTCTGTTCCCCTTAAATATCTTTCTATAAGACTGGCTCCTTTGCCATTAACATAAACCAGTTCAGCCTGGCATGGTGGTGCAAGCCTTTAATCCCAGCACTCTAGAGGCAGTTGGATCTCTGTGAGATCCAGGCCAGCCTGGTCTACAAAGCCAGTTCTAGAACAGCCATGGCTGTTATACAGAGAAACCTGTCTTGAAAAACCAACAACAAAAACATACACTAGTTCAACCCCCCACACTCCCTTGTTCCTTGTCCCCCTTTTTCGCCTCTTCACATTTCCTGATGCTGGGAGTTAAACCTAGGGAATTACTCATGATTGATTAATAAATGCCCCACAACTGAACAATATTGCCAGTGTTTACTTTTTATATTGTTCTAAGGCTGGTCTTCCTAATTTGTCCATGCTATCTGTTAGGTCTCCCTGATTTCTTTCCCAATTTGTCATTTGTATGTAGGAGGGCTACTGATTTTTGTGAGTTAATCTTGTTACTGCTATTTTGTTGAAAGTGTTTATCGGCTGTAGGAGTTCCCAGCAGCATTTTTAGGGTGGGTTATGTATACTGTCATGTCATCTGAAATAAAGATACTTTGACGTCTCCCTTTCTGTTTTGTTCCCCTTGGTCTCCTTTAGTTGTCTTTTAGCCATAGCTAAGCCTTCAAGTCTATATTGAATTAGTATGGAAAGAGAGGA